GGCTCGCCCCCTCCCGCCTCCTCGCTCTGATTGGCCCGGCCCGGAACGGCCTCCGGTGGCGGGCGCCCCCGAGGCCACGCCCCACCGCCTCCGGGCCTCCGGCCTCTCCCATTGGCGGGCGGCGGCGAGAACGGTGCGTGCCCTCTCCTTGTCCCCGCCCCCTCGCGCCCCGGCCTCCCCGGCGGCCCGCCTCCCGGTTCCGATTGGCGGGTCCGCGGCACGCGGGCTCCGCCGCCGACTCTGATTGGTCTTCAGGGCTGCCAAGTTAGCACTCGCGGCCGGGAGGCGTCCCGCGCTTGCGCAGTTCCGGTTCTCCCGACGGACGACGTTCGTTGCCGCCAAATTTCAAAGGCTTATGCTGGCCTGCGCGGAGTGGCACGCAGAGCGCAGAGAAGCAGCCGTGTGAGGGGCTGGGGGCAGGGGGAGGAAGGCCGCCCTCGGAAAACCGGGGGAGAGGGAGTGGGAGTGCTTTACCAGGTCGGTGCTCTACACCCCGAGCTGCGAAGCCAAGGAAGTGCTTTACAGAGGCCATTGCATTCACTCCTACCGATGCCGTAGGTGGAATCCCTCGTTCACGCAGTCCCGGGCTAGCCGACTTGCAGCGGATCCCACCGCGGGTAGGTGGCCCAGGAGTCCGGTCTGGGCCTTCTGACTTCAGAAACCACGCCGTCAAGCTCCACGCTAGGTGGAACAGTATGTGGTCATTTATTTACAAACCTCTACTCTCGTCCAGGTTTCAGGCGCTTTCTAGGCACTGGGAATACAGCAGTGAACGAATCGAACACAAAGCTCTGTCCCTGTGGCGCTTACGTGCTCGTCGGAGGCAGCAGACGGTAAACGGCTAAAGAATGATCCGTTAGTGATCAGTCCTCTGACGTGTCTTGGCACATGGAATCACTTGTTGGGTACTTCGGTTGCGTTGGTCAGGGGAACCGTTTTGGAAACAGTGATGACATTTCAGCCGACCCAAAGAACAGAAAGACGTCGGTCATGAGGAGGCCTGCGAAGCATCCCAGGTAGAGAGAGCAGCAAGTGCAGAAGACTTAAAGCGAGGAGAGGCGTGGTGTGTTGAAGCAGCAACAAAGAGAGCTGGAGTGGCTGGAGCATGGGGAGTGAAGGGAAAGAGGAGAGTATACTAGAGCGGGACCAGGTCACAGCACCTTTCAGACTCTGGTAAGGAGCCTGGATTTTCTTCCTGTGTGATGGGAAGCGACGTCGGTTAGATTAGGTCCCATTGTGATGGAAAACCCCAAACTTTGTCAAGGACCCAGGCTCCTTCTGTCTTGTTTCTCCGTAGTGCATTACCTGCACTCCCAATACCTCACGGTCTAGCCAAGCTTCAGCCATCGTGCCCGTTAAGGCAGCAGGAAGAGCCGACTCTTCTTAAGGACATGCCAGGAAATTGCACACAATCGCGCTTGTTCTCATCTCACTGGCCAAAACTTAGTCATATGACCACACTCGTGTGCAAGGAGGGACTCTGAAAATGTCTTCTTTATGTTGGCCTTTCACGTGCTCATCTAAACTTCAGAGATTCTGTTGCTGGTGTAGGAGGGAAGAAAGACCATTAGGATAAAACATAGTTGCTGTCACAGAAGCTGTAAGGAGGTTGGTAGCAGGGGCAAAATACAGTCTGATTTTCAGTTTTGGGGAAAAAAATTCATTCTGTCCACTATAGGAGAAATGGTTATAGATGGGAAGACCAGAACTAGGGCAATTAATAAACGCTTTCAGCAGTCCAGGTAAAAGGTGATGGTGACTAGAAAAGTACGCCATAAGTCTGTTGGAGAGGAGGGGATTGATTCAGGGAATGTTTTGGAGGAAAAATCCACGGGGCTTGTGGGAGTGAAGGAAGGACGACCCAATGGCAACCTCTTTAGAGAAGTCCTGTCCAATAGAACTTTCTGTGTTGATGGAAATTTTAGGTATCTGAGCACACAGTATGGTAGCTACCCCCACATGGCTGTTGAGCACGTGAAATATGGCTAGAGCTGGATGTGGTGGCATATACCTGCAGTCCCAGCTGCTTGGGAGGACAAGATGGGAGAATTGCTTAAGTCCTGGGCAATGTAGCAAGACCTCGTCTCTACAAAAAATTAACTGAGTGTGGTGGCATGCACCTGTAATCTCAGCTACTCAGGAGGCTGACACAGGAGGATTGCTTGAACTCAGGAGTTGGAGGCTGCGGTGAGTCGTGATCGTGTCACTGCACTCCAGCCTGGGTAACAGAGTGAGACCCCGAACAAATTAATCAATCAATCAATCAAATGTAACTAGTGAAACAGAAACTGACATTTTTATTTCATTTAAATGTAAATAGCCATGTGTGGTTAGAGACTACCATATTGGAGAGGGAGCTCTAGATTTTTGGGTGGCTCATGGTGTCATTGATTGCAAAAGGGGAGACGGAAGGAAGAGCAGGCGAGGGAATGCTGATAGCCAGCAATCAGTAGCTCTGCCTTGGACATGTTGACCTGAGACCCTTGTGAGACCTCAAAGGGGTTGATCAAGTAGGCAAGTGGAGGTATTGTGTGGATTTCCGGGTGAGGCCAGAGCTGGAAATATAGGTTTAGGAGTCATCAGTACATAGGAGTTACTTAGAGCCATGGGACTGGATGAGGTTACTCAGATGCGGAGTATAGACAGAGAACAGAAGAGCGCCCAGAAGTAAGCTCTGGACACCCCAATGTGTCCAGCTATCACAGCCACAAATACATTTCAACACGCCCAAAAGAAGACCACACCAAGTCACATCCAGGTGTGCAGATGGACGTTTCAGTCCACTTCAAATATTCCTTCTGAATTTCAGACTTCATAATTTCCAAGTGCTGTCCATTTCTCCTATAATTTCTTATTATCCAAGGGTTATTTCTTATCATCCTGAAACCTTGAGCAAATTGGTAAATTTAGCTACCACCAACAGTAACAGGGGAAAAAATTAGAATGTTAATAAGATGGTGATCGTTTTCTGCTCATTTTTGCCACTGGGCGTGGTAGTGTGAGGGCAACCAAGAAGTTCATCCTCCTCCCATCTCTACTCCACCCAAGTCATATCAGGGAGTAACAACCCTATTTCCACTTCACAGGGAGTGCACAGCCAGAATGGGGACACCCTTTCTGCCACTGCCATAGTGGCAGGAGGAGTCCCAAATGGTCAGGTGGAACTTTTACTGGGTTCCTTTGCCCTGGGGCAGTTAAATCCACAGAGCATGAATGATTTGGGGGATGGAAAGCACATATCTTTAGAGAGAAAATAGTGAAAGCCACCAGCTCCCATCAAAGCCCTTGGTTTCTGGATCACTCTACTGAGGCGGAGGGATAATTGGCACTGTTTTTCAGTCACTGTTGGGATCACATATCTCTGTCTGCGAGGGCACGGTCCAGCCTCACAGGCGTGGTCTCCTGGATACTGTTGGATCTGTTTTCTGTAGACCATTTCATTGTTCTATAAGTCCAGCGGCTTCTGGTGGATGGGAAATTTGATAATGACCTATGGCTGGCCAACTGTTTTATTTCTTTCACTGAGAAGTGAGTTTCTTGGTTGGAGACAATTCTGTCTGGACTACCCTAGGCTTGCAAAGTCAGTAATTTGAAGGATGATGAAACACTGCAAGGAACAATTTGCAGGGAAAGAAAACCCAAATGTGAAATAAATGTTTCTTCCAAAGTGTATAAATCACCTCACCCTCTAAGACAGAAGGGACCTGATAGAGTTGACCTTCACCAGACCTCTGACACGTCCCGAGAATGCTGGTGACCTAGTTAGCCCTCAGGATAAGATCCACCCTCCTACTGAAGTCACTTACTGTGTATACTACTTGTTCAGTTGATTTTCTTTGTTTTCCAAGTAGAGATCACATCATCTTCAAATAATGATCGTTTTTAACTTTTTTGGATTTTTTCCTACCCCTAATTACTTTCTCTTGTCTAATTAACTTGTTGGACAAGTGAGATAATGGTGGATAGCTTTTCTCATTCCTTTATTTTTATTTATGTATTTATTTTATTTAATATTTTATTTTGAGAAAGGAGGATTTATTAAGAGGACAGAAAGACTCCCACAGCGGGAGGGGACCCAAGGAGGTTGCCTATTTATTTATTTTTTTTATTTTTTTGAGTTACGGTTTCACTCTATTACCCAGGTCAGGATGCAGCAGCACCATCATGGGTCATCAAAAGTTCGACCTCCTGGACTCAGGCAGTCCTTCCGCCTCAGCCTCTGGAGTAACTGGGACAATAGACACGTGCCACCACACCTGGCCAATTATTTATTTATT